CACGTAGGGAGAGAAAGACAAATATAGGGAGATGGGAATAGATACAGAGCTCGGAGAGAGGCACACAAAGACGGACACAGAAGGCGAGAGAGACAACCCCATAATCGTGACACACACATAGACAAGTTTAGATGCATGGAAATTAGTTGAGGGTGAAGCTGTGGTTAGCACATTGTCCTATGGACCTGTCAAAGAGTTTAATTCTCGACCATGGCTAACATCAGTGGCATTTGGTATTTGAACCGGTCTTGGGTCCTCTGCTTCATTGTGGAAGAGGCCTTCAGGTTTGACCAACAATTTGGAGATTATAATTTATTTTTTAAAAAAGTAGAGGCCCTCCTTTTCCGGAGCACCAATGCACCGCAGCCCGCTGAGCCGCGCCCAATTAAAGGGATTTCTTCACCCATTCGCGCAATCCGCAGCTCCCCAGAGGGCATCTTTGTGGACCCGCGTGGACCCGCGTCAGGCCCTGCGTCTGGCCTCGGCGCACCCGTAGCGCGCCCGGGCTGTTGATTACGGGAGGGAGCGAGCGAGCGAGCGGCGCGTGGGTTGTGAGCGTCGCCGTCGCCGTCACCCCAATGCAATTCTTCCCTTTGAAGGAATCTAGCCATGAGCCAGAACTTGATGAAAGTGTTAAATCCACACACGGGAACAGGGCGATGGTGGGGGGTGGAGCGAGCATGAGTGAGCGTGCTGTGGCAGCAGGAAATTAATTTTCGGGCTTCAATATTTCAGCTCGGAAGGACACCGTGATTGTATTTGAGTCCACATGCTGCAATGTCGAGAATTGTGTGTAAATGCGGGCCAACCGCGTCCTTTTAGCAAAGCCTTTTCCTCGTGTTTTTTTTTATCCCTTCGTGCAATTTTCTTTCCCGGCGTGCGAGATTGGCGTCACGTCCTATGAGACGAAGAATCCATTCGGAAATCTCAGCAGCGTAGTGGGACCCCGCTTGACTTTCAACGGCTGGGCGAGGCCGAGACTTTCACGGAGCCTATGAAAAGCCTCCCACACGTGCTTACTCCCGCACGCTCACTCTGCTGTGAAACTGGTGTTTGTCGTTGTGTGATAGTCGAACCGATATTTTTAATTCTCATAGCTGGAAGGTAGCCAAGCTAAGTGACAAACAAAACCTGCATTTGATTTCGCTGTGCAGTCGTTCGTGACCGAGCCGGCAAGCATCGCCTGATTTAATCGCAGCGAGGCCGAAACCTAGATTTGAACCCGGGTCCTCAACGGTTCTGGGTCTGCTTCGCTTTGACTTCTAAGCCACCCAGCCACCTCCGCCATGATCAATAACTCCCCCAATTAATGAACACACACACACACACAGAACAACTACAACAAAACATTTTGATTTAAATCTTTCGTGACTGCAGGGATTCATATTCTTGGTTCTTTCAGTAAAGTCACGTAGAAAGGAAACAATAAAATAATAAAAATATAAAACAATCTAATTCTTACTACGTTTGGACTGCAATACAAGCAATCATCATCAGGTGTGATAACCACAGCCAGAAAAGCCACAGCAAGAAAATTTTAAATTGTATTGCTGTGGTTTTCACACCTGATGATGATTGCTTGTGTTGCAGTCGAAACGTCGTGAGAATTTTATTGTTTTATATTTTTATTATTTCATTGTTTCCCTTCTACGTGACTTTACCGAAAGCACCAAGAAAATATAACAAAACCCTCAACCCATTTGTTAATGCCACTGCCGAAATAATGGTGGCATCCGCACGCCGCCGGTGTTGTGACTTCCGGAGTGTGAGTGCCCAAGTCTTTACGTCTTTGGCGATTTCTGTGGCTCTAGAGCCCCCTAGCAGCGCCGTGACAACATTGACAATGTCACAATTCAGACTCGGTGGTATGAGACCATATAGCGTCTCCTTTCTCCAATCCCCCCCTCCAGCAATTAAATAAATTACCACAATTCGGAGTCGTGGGCCCATTCAAGATTGATTGCTTATTTTGTCCCTTTTTTTCCAGCCTCATTTTGTACTATCGATTTTATTTCGCCCTATTTGTACATCTTGCCCCTGTATCATAATGTAAGCATAGCGTGCATGCTCAACGTCGCTTAAATTGTAAGCGATCTAATTCTTGGACGCACGATCGGCGTTGTGCAGCACGCATAACAATCACGGTAGTAGTCGCAGGGGTAGATGGCTTATTAGTATTCATCATGCGCAAAGGTCACCACCAAGCGCAATGCAGAGCAGATCAACAAAACAAAACTACGGATAACAATACCAATGCCGTTCAATAGACTGCCCCTTGCAAAATAGGCCTGGGTTTGTGAGCGATTAGAACGGGTGACTGTAACGGCCCCGCTTCATGGAATCGACGCACCACGGCTACGCATCTCAGCAACACGGCCGGCTCCCTCTCCGGCGAGACAACAGCAGCGCTCGTGGATTAGGCCCCCGTCAGGCGCGGTGCCGTCAGGTTATTTGAATGTTTTTCATAATTTCTGCAAGGCCACTCGCGCAAATGTAATTTGACGCGCGTGACGAGAACGAGCTTGGCCAATGATGGTCACCAGTGGTGGTGGGGGGGGCATTGCGTCCGTTTAACGCTCGCGACGCCGTCTCTTAAAAGCACGCGCCCAATCGTGCATTGTCTTTGTGCTGTTCGCCTTTTTGGCGTCCTCTGGTCTAACACCGTTTGAGACTAGGCTCTAAAGAAAGCTGTCTCTGGTGTGGACCAATCAGTTTAAAAGACAATGCCCATACTACCAGAGCATGTTTTTGTTTTTCATGTTCACCACGAGTACGAGTGGTTGATGCAGACGGGATTCCGTGCATAAGGTTTCTGTTCGGTGTTTTAACATCTTAACACAAACTGTTTCATTGCCAGAACGGGTAAAACCAATTCTTATATGTGGCTGGTGAGTGTTGGTGCTTCGTGTAGGCTGATCTTTACATACAACCGTGAGCATTTTCCTTCCACTCTACTCCATCGGCTTGCGGTGAAAATTTGCCGGATATGGCCTTGAATCGTTGCAAACGCTTGCCGTGACGACCCAGACGATGGCGCGCCACGAAAAACGACGCTCGTACGCTGCGTGTGTTGGCTCTAGGGACGGTTGCCGGAGCTGTGCAAAAGGAATTTGGCCAAACATCCAAATGCAGGACCCGCATGGAAATCGTTCTTGAGTTTCAGCGAGGATTTTCTGTCTAAAATAACGATATAATTTTTAAATTCTGGATTGACTCAGGTCTTAATACATCCAGTGAAGTATAAAAAAAAAATCGGTGATGATGCTGACAATGATGAACTAATTTAATGAAGTAATATATTTAATGCATGAAAGTGGGTGGGGTAGTGGTTTGCACTTTGCACTTTGAACCCAGCGACCTGAATTCGATTCCCAGCTCCAATTAACACGAGTGGCGAGTGATATGTGAGACAACCAGCACTGACCAGCATGGGGAAGAATGTTCAGAACCTCCCACCTCCCCCGGGGGACTTTATCATCCAGCAATGGATTGAGAAATTTGCTGCAAATGATTGTATTTTATGACCTACATGGCAGTGTACATTTTAAGATAATTGTGTGTATTGTTATTCTATCATTTGTCATCATCACTGCTCGACGCTGAACCATTACCAGCGCGCCATTCCAATTCAGGCACGATCGCTGTGGATTAGGTGACAACAGGGCAGGCTCGACCGCGCAACCTGAATAAAAAAAATGCGCGCTCAATTTTAGTGCAATCCTGGGAAATTAATTCGGAGGAGTGAGACGTTTATCTGGGCATGTGGCTGGATAACAGAAAGCGAAAGAAATCGGCACGGGGACCCAGGTCGGGGTCCATACGGCTGCCGTTTCCGAGATGTCTTCGGCAAAAAGTGCGCGTGTTAGTGGACGGGCAGGCGCCCACGTGTCCTGGGGAACGAGAGCAGATGGACGTCTCCTCCTCTTGCTTGGAGCTGGAGGCAGGTGCTTGACGGCACACCGGCCCGGGGTCCCGTGACAGCGATGGGAGTCAGCCAGGCAGCAGGGCCGCCACCAGTGTGGGCTACACTCGCTGGCTCGCTGGCTCGCTGGCTCGCTCCCTGCTCACATTGGCAGCTGATGGCAAAATTGAATGGCGTTTGGGTAGCCGAAAGTGCAGCGTAAATACGATGGCGTTTGTGAGAAGCGTGGGAGAAGTGCCGGGGAGGTGCGTGCTTTTAATTGCACTGAGGCAGGCAAGTGGTGCACGTAGATCGGGGATTGATTGCAAATCATGAACATCAGATTGACCGCGCATGAAATGTTAGTGGGATTGGGATGTGCACGCCGCGGCTAGAAGGCACGACGAGACTGGTGACGGAATAGAAGCCAAAGGAGGAACGCACCCGAGCGGATGAGACAACCCGCTGAGATGGAGATCTTTACATCAGCTCAGGTGCACACGAGTGAGACAGATCGGAGCATCGCGGGGCTGTCAGTGATGGGGACAGGGAGGCCTTCATCCAGCAATGGGTAGATCGTGGCGGATCGTGGTGGAAACCAGTGGTGGACAAACAGTGTAGAATGCCATGAGCACGTGATGTGGCTTTTAACGTTGAGGCCCCTATACCGGCGTTGCACATTTGAGTACACTTTCTGATTCATTCTGGTGCATAGACAATTATCGTTCAAAATCAGCAATGGAAATTCTACAATGACCCATTGCATCGATTCATCCATAAACATTGATTCCAACACTTATGATGCACGCATAGATTCTTACGGGTAAAGAATCGATGTCAAATTATCAAATGATGCGTCGGTACAAGCGTATCTCCACTTGCAGTTTTTTTTCCCCACCACCGGGCCGTAGCTATCACCATTGCTATGTATTCAACAGCTTGTAGACAGATCCGCTACGTGCCACCGAATTTTCTCTCTCTACGACACAATTTCACGCTCGAGTCTCTCGGGCGGGCGGGTGGTGGCGATGGTGGGGGGGGGGGGGGGGGAGTCTCTCGCTTGTCCCTCTCTCGTGCCGCCCGGCTTCTGTCCCCGCAGACTCGCTGATGGCTGAGGTGAGCGCTGCCGCGTGGCGCGCTGCCAGCGACGCCGTGCGCGAGGTCGTCTCCTCGCGGGCCGAGCGCCGGGGACGCCGCTCCGCGGGGACGCTCGCCGCCGGCGACGGCCCCACGACGCCGTCGCTCGCGCGCCAAAAGGTCAACGGCTCGCGCGGGCCTACCGCTGGATTGACCTTGCCGCTGGCGGCGCTATGTCGCGGCCAGAGTCGTTAGTCGAGAGCGACGACTCGTGGATTTTTAGTCGAGCCCTCGCCTCTGGTTGTTTTGTGGTGCGTCCTCGCGGTTCAGTTCACCTAAAGCGGCCTAAAATGTGCGTCGAAACTAAACACGATTTTATTACCGGGCAAAGCTGTATAGCTCTTTTTCAGAAGTGACCTGGCCGCCAATGATCGCCCAATGCAGTGGCTTATCACGTGGAAATGTATAGCAGGCAGATACTCTAAACGCACGTTTCTAAATGTGGAAGGGGGAAAAAAATGCACACGACCAGGGGGAGAGAGACACGCAAACTCTCCAAAATATACAGCAGGCGTCAGGGTCGGGACCAAACCCACGACCTTCTGCATACCAGGCGAGGGAGATAACATCCCGCCACCGCGGTGCCCCCCGCTCAAAGCCGCGTCGCTCCCCCGGCTGCGTTTGTCTCTCCCACAGGGAGGGGTGGAGGAGGAGCGGCAGCTGGACATCCTTCGCGGAAGCGGAGCCGTCCTCGTGAGCGAACTCACCGCCAGCATCACCAGCAAGGTAGCACGCTCAGCGGCCAGTTGCTCGCCACTTGCTGCATAGCTTGGCGGTGCGAGGCCCCACGGCCGCCCTGGTCAATGCTGCGGGTGTATTTTAAAAAATGTCTTTCTGGAGTCCGAAGAGCTCTAAAGCTCTTTTTCACAGATGTCAAGTCCGGACATGAATACATTTTTCAAAGTTGTCCGGTAGAACATTTGTGAAACAGAGCTTCATAGTTCATTGGATTCCTCCAGTATGAATAAATATTCTGATTCTGACATTCTCCGCGCCGTTACGTTGTTTGAAAGAGGGCAGGCCGTGTGTGTTGGCATCGCGGTCGAGCGTTGTGAAGGTTGCCAGCAGGATGTTACAGCGTTCAGAGAACGCAGCAATCATCGCCCCCTACTGTCCTCAAGAGCGACTGCTCCGTCTCGTCGGTGATGCGTTCAGTCAGCAAGCTGCAGGCCACGACTCCTCCGTTTGCTGCTTCTTCCCTCGCGCTGCTCGACTTTGGAACTACCTCCCATCGTATATTTTCCAAAGTTCTTATATTAACCGTACCGAGTTCAACCAAACACATTAACGCTTGTCTATTACAACTTTAAAAGTGCTGTTTATTTCTTTGACCTTTGCGGGTCTTGCTCAGCAACCTTGAGAAGAAGAAAAAAATGTGAAATCGAATTCCTGTTGCATACGTATTTACGAGCGGTTTGATGATCTCCCCTGTAACAGACGGACGGGCAGAGAGATGGACAGCGCTAACGCATTAACGTCTTCAACCTTAGATTTGAAAGCGTTACAGATGGCATTTATATTGTTTCGTTTCGCCGTGGCCATGAGTCTTGGCAGCTTCAATGTAGCTGCAGGGTTTTACTGTTTGAGCCCATAACCCTTTTAAGAGCGATTTAAAATAATTCCTCTTCGAGTTAAAATCCTCTTATCACACGCTATGGCAATTTGTTTTGTACTTTTTGTACTATGAACCCGGCGACCTGCGTTCGATTCCCGGCCATGGCTTAAGGATTGTGAAGACGACTTCTTTATGTTTACCAATCATCAGGCACGTGCAGAAGAAGACGTCTTTGTGTTTACCAATCATCAGGCACGTGCAGAAGACGACTTCACAATCCTGGCTAATCGCCTGAAAAAGCTGGTTGTTGTAATCGCCAGAGAAACGTCGTACTCAAACCGGATGTGCTGAAGTAGTAACTAATTGGCACGTTTTGTTCTACGTGCCAAACCTTACTAATTGGCTGTGGCGGGTGGTGGCGGGTTTGCGGCACATTTACGTTCACGCAATATCTAGCTCAAAAAAAACGACACCTTTGTAGTGATTGTCCCAAACGATCCCTGGGACAGAGTCATCTCTGATTGGTCGGGGGGGGTGGTGGGGGGCAAGAGGATCGGCTGGATCCGTGCCGTGGATTAAAAATACATTTCCTTGTGGACAAAGAAAAGGGCCAAGAATCTTTCACCCTTGATTGTGGACGTTCAGCTTGTGGTGCTGGAACGCGATGCGTCCAGCAGAGGGCGCCCCATCGCACGGCTGTAACAGAGCGGGGATCCCCACGGAGCGCCGGGCTGCTCAGGGCTGCGATCGTCGCCGCCACGGACGCGAGCGACACGATCGCGATGCAGTCGCGGTTGCGTTCAACGATGCCCACCCCCCCGTAATTGTAATGCAGCGTCTCCCTCGTCATTCGCCGAGGGATTTACGTTCCGGAGACGCTCGTGAATAGCACATTTCTCGGATAATGATATTGACCTACGGAAACCTATGTTAAAAAAAATATTTACCTTGAATGAGTACGTAAATAAGCAATCACAATTACGGATAGCAAGTTCGTGAATATCGAGGTAATACTACCATTGATCCCATGTCTGTTTGTGAGTCACCAGGGTGCATCTAGCCGAGCTGAGCCAAGCTATAGTCAGTTTGCACTGCACTAGCCTACGTGATGTAACAATACGTGTCGATTCAAATTTAGTCATTCACTGTGTATATGTACGTGGGTGCTTGATCCATGTTAATCGGCACCCCCATGTCACGTGGGATGTGTTCATGTTCATCAATCATCAGACAAGTGCAGAGTGTAACAACTTAATTTTTATTTTGCACGGCCCTTTTCGATCCACTGCTGGATGAGGGCCTCCCCATGCCATGTATCTGTCGTGGGGCTTGTTGACTATACTTCACCATGTTGGGGTGGCGGTTGGTGGAGAAAATCGTGGACTGATTCAGATATTACTCGCCGCTGATGTCAGCCGTGGCCGGAGAAATTCACTCCACTTTGCAGGGTTGCGGGAATAGTGCGCTAACCATTGTACAAATTGCAAGTTGGTCGGCGTTGTCAGAATCAGAATATCTCTTTTACACTGGAGGAATCCGATGAGCTATCACGCTCTTTTTCACAGATGTCCAGTAGTGCGTAATTGGTGAACTCGGAGAGACGTGCCGTGGTGAGTCGGGAAGAACCGAACTTTGACAAATCCTGACTTAAGGACTCAGGTCAGGCAGTTTAATGAGCATAGCCGTTGGTCCCATCATATCAGTGACCCGCAGGAGAGACATTTTATTGGTGCAGCATTTGAAGTTTTGACCCCAGCAATCGAGCAACTCGGCCACTGTGACACTCAAACACACGGGTCAGACTGTTAGGCCTTTAACGAGCTTCATTTGCGAATTGCTCTGCCTCCGTGCACTCGGCGAATTAAGGGCATTGCCTTGGTCTGCGTCTGATGATTCAGTCACTCATTACCGTTCACGTTCACGCCCACGTGGACCATGCAACCGTGACCCCAGCCGTTAATAGACGGCTACGCCGTCGCTTATGGTAAAGCTCAAATGACTGCGTTGGTGAAATTCGTAGACCAAATCACACCTCATCACTCTCATCAGCATCACCATGGTCTTATACACTGCTGGGCGAAGGTCTCCCCAAGCCGTCGCTTTCACTCACGATGCTGCGATGTAACAATCCGCCCAGCACCCGCACACTCCATCTCCTCCGCTGACGTGCTGTCGGGCGCGTTAGGTCCTTCAGCTGCCACTCTTGCCACCAGTGTCGACCATTGGCCGCATTCCCTTCTCATGACGTGTCCTCCCCCAGCCCACTAGTTTTGTCTTTACAGTCAGTTCGATGTCTTCAATCTCCATCTATTCCTTGATCCACGTGTTCATCTTTCTGTCTGTCAGCGTGATTTCAAGTAATACATCTCTCCATTGTTTGTCAGTGCACTTTTGGACTTGGCACTGATTTAAAACGCTCTTAAACAGCTCTTCCTTACAGTGACATGAACCTCTGATTAGCACGTTTGGCTATGTACGGTGTGAAATGCATTCAATATACATATCCTAATTTGAGAAATGGGCTAACAGAGCAAGCTAAATTGTACAAGTGAGATAAACGGTACAAAAATTAAGCAAACAAATTATTAAATTAAATCATGATTCTGGACCTTGATTCTGAATCATTATAATTGATCAAATCACCCGGCCTGGGTGGTGGAGGGATGGTGAATCATTGCATACCTAACAGTTACACCCTGCATTGGCCATGTTACCCGTGACGTCAAGCGTCGCTCGCTCGCTCACAAGCATCTTAGTCAAGCTGAGAATCGCTTTCCCTCCCTCCCTCCCTCCCTCCCTCCCTCCCTCCCTCCCTCCCTCCCTCCCTCCCCTCCCCTCCCCTCCCCTCCCCTCCCCTCCCCTCCCCTCCCCTCCCCTCCCCTCCCCTCCCCTCCCCTCCCCTCCCCTCCCTCAGCTATTGAACGGTGACGCCTCATTTCCCGGTCACGGTGGGGTCCTCCACATGCCGAGTAACGATGGCGGTGACGGTGACCCCATCACATCCCCGGACACGGACAGCCCCCGCCGCTCCGCGCCCGCACGGCGGCGCGACCGTGCATCCATCGCACCAACCCACACCTCCGAGCTCCTTCCGGGCCCCGCCACATCCGCTCACACCTGCGGGAACGTCGAGAACGCCGGGAACGTCGAGAACGTCGGGAGCGACGGGAACGCCGGGGGTGTGGGACGTCCCGTGACCGCAGCCGGCAATGATGCCAACGGCGAGGACGTCCCCCGCTGCTCCGACACGCCGGGCGAGGAGACGGACGAACCGCGCGGTCCCGGAGGCGTAGGGGTCTGTCGGGACGCTAGCCGCTCTTCCTCAACCGCCGACGGCCCCCCGGCCGATCCAAGCATCTCCCCCGGCGCCACCGTGGACCCATCGCCGGCGGTGCCACCGCCCGACGCCGGACCTTCGCCGGTTGCCGCCGCGGGAGGGGAAACGATCGGCGTGCGAGATTCTTCGTATGAGCAGCCGGCGTCAGTCGGGCGGAGGGCAGGCGGGGACCCGGGGGAAGAGTCGCCGTGGGGCCACCGCAGCGGCGACTACTCCGTCGACGACGATGCCGTTCGTGCGACGCTGGGCCTTGGCCACCGTGGAAGAAGTCGGCGGCCGCGCGCAGACGCGGGTCCGACCGGGGCCGAGAGGCTTCCCCGGGCGAGCGACGGCCCCGGCGAATCGCTCGTGCCCGAGGGCGGCGGCGAATCGCGCTCCCCCGAACGCGGCCGCGAAGGTCGCGGCAGCCCAGCGGGGTGCGACGCCGGAGAAGCGGCGGGGGTTGGCGACGGGCCACCGACGGCCGCGGAGCGCGGGCCGAGGAGGACTTTGCATGAGGGCCCAGCGCGGGTGCTTGGGGAGGGCTCGGCGGCCGAGGGTGCCGATGGTGCCGAGGGCAGCCCGGGGTGCTTGGATCAGGTACAGCTGCTTGTCGTAGGGTGACTCCGGCCCCTGTGGTGTGAGTGGACTGTGGAGTTCCTGTGGATTTTTGCGGTTTAACACCCGCCCCTCAATACAGCACCACCCATTTAAGGCTCAAATTTCCCCCTGCAAAATATAGCACGGATTTTTCTTCATTCTAGAAAATTGTTCTTGACCCACAACTTTTCAAATCTTTTGAATATGTATTTTTTAGAAAACATAAAGATGATTACGGTTGAAATGTTGGTGAGGATTTTTTGACCCAAGTCAAAGGTCATACATTGTACATGGCTCTCATCACTCCCACAGGGTCCATGGTTTTTTGTGGTAATAATGAGCTGATACGTGTCTATTTACGATGGAAATTGCTTTTTAGTGTTATTGCTGACTGACTCCCTCACAGGTAGTGAAAATAAATGTCTTATGTGATAAAAAAACACTGCAGGTCCCACACAACCTCACTCTTCTCATTTGCAATAAAATTGTCGTAGCAAGATTTCAGTAAGTTGAAAATAAATGACTGCAACGCACTGAAATGACTTGCGTTCGCTTACCATTGTTTACCGTGGCAAATAGAGACTGAACAGAGGCTATATATGTTTTACTTTTTATAAGCTTTTACGTATAGAGAATTGAGACGGCCACATAAAGCAGTTTTTTGCATGTGAGACCTGGGAAAATTTTAGAATAATGAGTGTCAAACAAGACTGTGAGCAAGTTTGAAAAAAGCCTAAAAGACCCATGCATTCAAAAACCCCAACAACGTGCTGAATCGTGCGATTTGTGTCGTTAAATCTGTTCTCAATAAACTCCTCTGTCACGTCACACCATCGTGGCTTATTCTCCCATGGACCTCACATTTTTTTTCCCCAAACGTCTCTTGAGCTTTCATTCCTCTGCTCCATTCCATCCCTGTGTCTAACGTTGCTGCCACTCTTGTCACCTGGTTTTATTTTTTCATTTTGTTATTTCAAATGTTTTTCCCCGAACGTTGCCACCGTGTCTCCACCCTCCCACTCCCCCACCCCATTGCCACCACTGTTACCATTGACATCAATGCCACCACTGTCACCATTGCTACCATTGCCACCACTGCCACCATTGCTACCATTGCCACCACTGTCACCATTGCCACCACTGCCACCACTGTCACCATTGACATCACTGTCACCACTGCCACCACTGCCACCATTGTCACCACTGCCACCACTGCCACCACTGCCACCACTGCCACCACTGCCATCACTGCCACCACTGCCACCATTGACATCACTGCCACCACTGCCACCATTGACATCACTGTCACCATTGACATCACTGCCACAACTGCCACCATTGACATCACTGTCACCATTGACATCACTGCCACCACTGTCATCATTGACATCACTGCCACCACTGCCACCACTGCCACCATTGACATCACTGTCACCATTGACACCACTGCCACCATTCCCACCACTGCCACCACTGCCACCATCGCCACCATCGCCACGTGTCGGCGCTCTCCTCTGTTCTGCGAGCACGCCTGCAGCTGGCGGCGCTGTCCAGTCGCCTGGCGGTGCTAGAGAGCAGCCTGTGCCGCCTGGAGAGTGGACTAGCGCCGTCCCACACGTGGGCTCAGGTACGGAGCACGGGCGAGGTGCCGTCAGGTGCCGTGGTGGCACACGGCACGACAATTCAGACGAAATGTTGAAGAATCCGTTGATCACGGGGTGCTCGAGCAGTGTGTGTAACGGACTTGATCACAACTTGACCACTCCGCTCTCTGTTTCTGTCATCCACTTTCTCCATTCATCACTCTCTTTGCTCTCCCCATCTTCCACCCTGCTGCTTCCTGTTTTTTCTCCACTCTACTCTCTTCGCTCTCTCTCGACTCTCTCCATCATTTACCCTCTGCACCCTCTCCATCCTCCGCTCCCTCCGCTGTCAGCGTGGGGTGAGGTCCGTGTCGTCTCCAGAGCTGGGCCAGCGTCACGGGGACGCGCCGCGCCCTCTGCGACGGGGCACGGTGCTGAGACACGGGCAGCGGCAGGAGAGGATGTCCACTGGGATCCTCGCCGAGGAGGAGGAGGCGGAGAACGAAGAGGAGGAGGACCAGGGAAAGGATGAGACAGCTGCTGATTCGGACTCTACCACCATCGCCACAGATGAGGGTGATGCAGAGGAGGAGGTCGAGGTGGAGATGCGGAAGGTGTGGCACTCAGCACTCTCGGCTCATTGATGTTGATAATCTGCATCGGAATCCAGGAAATATTTCGTAGACGATCTTAGCCTGGGGGTTGCAGGGGGGGAAATCAAAACGTGTCTTGCAGCTACAGAAATGGCAACGATTTAAAAATGATGTTCGATTCTGAATGGCTTGGGTTGGCCCTATGCGACCCCACCCCACCCCCGACAATGCTTCGCGGTGGCAGGCTTGAGTTTGTTTCCTCTCCGCTCCTCTTCCTCTCTCTCTCTTTCTCCTTCCCTCCCAATGTCTCCGTTCCCCTCCGCGCGTGACGCTGTGGCCCTGCCGCTGTGGTGACCTGCTTCCGCTTAGAGGTACACGGCTGCCTCCCTGCGCAGCCTCACGACCCACGCGCTGCGCCTCATCGCCGACGCCCAGCGGCTGCTGTCCCGGCCGGGCGCCGGCGATGGCGGCCCCGCGCCGTCGCGACGCGTGGCCAGGGCGCTCGACCAGCGGCTGTCCGAGCTGGAGGAGAACGTAAGGGCCTTTGATCGTCGCGGTCATCCATCCTTGTCGTCGTCGATCATCGTGATGATGTTCATGCTGAAAAATTACTCGATTGGGATTCCACATGGCAACATCACCGTCTTCTGCAAAAAAACATGTTTTTTTATGGCAGAACGCTACTGAAAAAGAGAATTGGGAATCAATGAGGATTTTCTGGGCAAGCACGCTGAACGATGATTAAAATCTTATAATTAAAATATTATAATGCACAATATTATAAGAAAATGCCTACGTGTTATTAAAATGTTAAAGGTAAAGATGCAGCCCTGCAAGTACGTGCTAATGCCACAGCTGGCACAATGACATCCGCCAGACGATATTCGTGGCCTCTTCTTACTCAATGGATGGACGTTTTGGAAGTGGTGGTATTACCCACACTTTACCCCACGAGTTGGTCTGCCGATAGACTGGGTGGTGAACCCATTCGCATTTGCTGGGTTGAGAGATGAGGGATTTAAGAAGCTTGTGCCATTGTTTCAACCGCCACGCCTGGAGGTCGAACCGGCGACCGCCGGATGGCAAGTCCAGTGTAACAACCGTAACCACGTGGCAGCATCGTCTTTACGCGTTTTATTAAGGCATTGAATGTACATATCGTGTGCGATTCAGATATATTTTTCTTGATGCGTACATTTCCAGCAAGCAGGCTGATTGCTACGCTTGGTACGGGGGTCTCGTCGTCCCTGGAAGGGTTCGTGTTACACGATCTGCCCCGATAGCGGTGTTTAGAGGCCGTGCCGCTGTGTGGGTCAAACACGATACGACACGGCCGAGTGGCGGTTATCTAACGTGTCCGAATACGGCCGTGTCAAGGGACCCGTGATCTTGCGACGATGCCGTACGGAAAGAGACACGCATGTAATTACATGGTCGGAGCACGGCTCGTCGTATATACCGTAGATATATGAAAAAACACAAAACATCGAGCGTTATGTAAAACCCCCCAAAAGCTTCGCGATGAAAAGTAGAGATTAACAAAAAGGATGAAAATGGCAAACAATCCGGGAAACAACACAAACGCAAAGTAAAAGAGACCAAGACAAAACCGTCTGAAAATATTCCGACACTCCATAAGAGCAGTAACAGCAGCAATTTCGATTTAAAGCTTTCGTGACTGCAATGATTAATCTTCTTTGGTTCTTTCGGTAAAGTCACGTAGAATGAGAATAAAATAATAAATTGATAAAATAAAATAACACAATAATATTCTCACGACGTTTCGGCCACAACACAAGCGGCCTTCATCAGGTGAAGGGACGAGACTGTCTGGTAGGACAGCGCTGGAGTTGTCCTACCAGACAGTCTCGTCCCTTCACCTGATGAAGGCCGCTTGTGTTGTGGCCGAAACGTCGTGAGAATATTATTGTGTTATTTTATTTTATCAATTTATTATTTTATTATCATTCTACGTGACTTTACCGATAGAACCAAAGAAAACAGCAGCAATCTCAAAAAGGGCCAGCCCCTCGAAGTGCAAATGTCCACGACAGAAACCTAACTAGTGGAGATTTTGTTGTTAAATGGGTGCATAAATATAAACACAGGATTACGGAAAAGTTGCCAGGCCAAATGGAGTCGCTGTGGAAATCAACAGAGAACCAGGGCCAAATGCTGAAACAAATTGAATTGAGCTCTTTAGCGACTGTTTGTACCGAATTTTAATACGGCACTGTCTCAATTATGGCATGAAGTGTGATGAGCAAAGCAAAATCCATGTGAATTCGCTTGGAAATGTTAAGGTATGACAGAGGGACACAACTGAATGTGTCTATCTGGGGCAGTGAACACTGTAGGTGGACCGAGATCAACGCGATAGATTAAATACGCCGACGAGATCAGGCTGGATTTATTTTTCGAACACGGAACTGACAATGAAATGCGATGTACCCAAGTGCCGAATCAAGACAGTTTTGATCGGTGCGTAATTACCTGCCATGACGTCCGCGTCATGAACGTTGTTGACCTGAATAGAGAAAATGGAACAGAAGGGCGGAGAGGCCTGATCTTGGAGTTCCACTGAGAGAGGAAGAGAAACGCGTGGATTAGAGACCATGCATTCGTTTTAGAGACAAGGGATGACTCGATAGTCTAGACCAGTGGTTCTTAACTTTTACTGGTTTTCAGACAGGGCATCTCGCATCCCCAGGGGGTGCGTGCACCTCAGGTTAAGCACAAACTGGTCTAGACTAATGTATGTATGTTTTACTTCTTTCTAATGACAGCAGCTGCCAAAATAAGCGAATGGGCCCAAAAGGACGTCCACTGCGGAGATGGGGCAATGAAATCGGATCATGTGCAGGGGTTAGATGGATAATTGCAGGACTACGAGGGAGATTGCGATGAACTGGGGGGACTTTCATCCAGTAGTAGCTAAGATCGCAGCCGATGATGATGATTGCATTGTAGATGGAAAATGACCAATTGTTAATTAACTTGAAACAGTTGACTGCAATATACTGTATCTTTAGAGGATATATATGTTCACATTTTTTTTACATCTTCTGTAACATTTTCTTTTCAATGCCGATGTAGACTCAAGTGTGTGTATTGTATTTGATTACTGTATATCATTTGCATAAGTTGTGTCAGGATGACACATCACAACTCATTTTGAACATGACAGTGACGTGTGTCATTTTTTTATTTGTTCTGGCTGTCACTTCCAGTTATCTGTCACGCGGCTGACCCAGCGCTCTCCGTTTTAAATAAGTGCTATTTAAACAACTTTTTTTAAAAACACGCTTTTATGAAATGTACTAGTAATGGAAGAACTCCACGACTCCATGAAGTGACCCCGAAGCTTGCCACAACGTAAGGGGACCGTGACCAATTACAGCCAACGTCAGTTGACCGTGGACAATTAGACCCAAGCCGAAACATAACATATAAAAAATATTGCTTACATTTTTAATGATAGAATATAGTATTGTCATCAGTATGACATAAGTATACCAAGTTTGCAGTCGATTCCACATTGGGAAGTGGGTAAAAAGTTGAGTTACAATAACAACAGAGTGAGTTAAATGAAAGTGTGTAAAATAAAAAAAAGTTTCCAACGGAACCGTGGGGGAGATACAAACAACGAAACGCTGTGCTCCAAGGGTGGGAAAACCCCGATTGTTTTGCCCGACAAATCGGGTTATTGGTTTTAATGGAATTAAACCCGATTTTGCCGATTAAAACCTGGTTTTATTATCGGCGTCTCGTGCACACTTCAATCCTGCTCCTCGTCGTCGTCTTCGTCGTCGCTCTCGCCGCTGGACTCGGTGTTGTCGTCGCCGTCGTCGGGCGTGGGGTAGTCGTGGAACGCGTTGAGGTTCGACTTGGTGAAGACGAGCTTCTCGACTGTGTTGGGCGCCAGGCTGTTCCTCAACTTGGAATGGATCAATCCCATCGTCGAGAAGTTTCGCTCAGACGTGGCCATGCTGAACAGTTTGATGGCGATCTTCTGGAGCTGCGGGATAGTCGCTTCCGACGAGTGACGAACTGACGACGAAGGCCTGGGCGAGGGCTGAACGCACCGCGTGGCTCACGCGCGTGACGCTGAGCCCGGGCCCCGGCCCGAACCCCGCTAATGGGGCGCGTGCGATGAGAAATCCCGACTTAACTTTAATAAAACCGAATAAAACCGGATTTGGGCAGGATCTAGGTGCTTCGGTTTTATATAAAAAAACGATTAAAACCCGAATGAATAAAACCGGGCCATGCCAGCCTTGATGTGCTCGCTGTGCTTTCAGCAGAGCCATCGGGCGGTAAGGGGTGGTGTATCGCGTGCCGATTTGTGAACCTCCCAAAAAGCATTGGGGCTGTGAGGGGTGCCAAACGATTGCAGTACAGCGAGTCGGGTTCATTAACCCATCTGTGTGGACATTTTCAGTTGCTTTCCTCACACGTGTAGCCTTACATGCCTATGCAGGATCCGTCTTGTTACTCTGTGAGGCTTTTCCTATATTCAATTATTGTTATTGGAGGTAAAGCCGGTGCACATAGGTTAGCAAACTACACCCGGTGATTTATCCTGGTCGGTGACCATAAATATATATCTTTGCACCTGTAACACCACATCCATCATACCTCCTCACTGTAGCTGCTACATGTATATATTTATGTATGTTGAACTTCTTTTGCACCGTACGTAGACAACCATATTAATCGGAGGTGTGGGGGAAGGGCAACAAACTAAACACAAAAATCAGTTATAAAGAAATGAGTTTTCAATCTTGATGATCTAAAAGTGCATAGCTCTCAGTGGCTTCGTAATATCGAAAGGAAGAGCGTTCCAGACGGCCGCAGAAGCCCATCTGAAAGCGCCACGCGATGCGGTGACCGCCATCTTTGTTCGATGGCCAGCAGCCAAAAGCCGCCGCCGCTGCTGTGAGGATCGCCAGAATTCGCGTGACGGTTTTATGCTCCTTGACGAGATCAGCAAGGTGTTTTCGTTAATTTGTGGCAAGCACTTTGTGTGTGTGTGATGAGCGCGACTTTATTATAACGTATTAGTTCGGCAGTCGTCACGTGCCCACCTACTCCATTCCGTCAGCGAACCCGCAAAAATCTATGCACCCCCCGCGTCTGTTGCGCGCAACGAGCGCGATATAATAACCCGCGGGCCCGGGGCCGCCCAGACCTAGCGGCAGGTCAACACACGAGAGCCCTGTCACGGACGTGACCGTGACCCCCCCCCCCCCCCCCCCGTGGCCGTCCCGCGTGCCCGCAGGTGTACGTGGGCGCGGGCCAAGCCTTCGAGCTGGAGGAGGAGCTGCGGCACCTGGAGGAGGGGGCGCGCGGGATCCACGCGGCGACCACGGAGCGCGAGCTCGCGTGGCTCGAGGATCGCGTCGCCACCGCCTCGGCGCAGGTGCAGGGCGCCGAGGGACAGGTGAGGGTGGTGGTGGTGGTGGTGGTGCTACAGACGGCCCAGTAGAAAGGTCCGGACGACAATAGAGGAAACCTCCAGCCGGGCTTGGTTATTTTTTCAGTCTCTGCCAAGTTTCACGGTTGTTCATGCGCGTTATTTCAGCCGCGTTTTTACATTGCGGGTGCGTTGCAGCGGGTGCGTTGTGTGGTGGTACGGACATATTGCGCAGGCTCTTGGGCGCTGTGTGTGCCTGTGGGTGCCAGTAGCACAGCTATCGAGTGTGCAGGAGGTGCAACTGCACAGGGGTTCATGGGCCAGAGGGGGCTCGGCATCGCGCTACGTAGTGGGGGATAGGGGAAGGGGGGAATTGAACACGGCAGGCCCATTGAATGCCTTGCACCAGGGCCCATGCCAAGTACACTTTGCCACTGATGGGTGCGGTGCGATGCGGCGTGGTAGGTAGTGGCAGCCAGGCGCATTGCAGGGTGGGAGTGGTGCGTGGCGGCTCATGAATGTGGTGTCAGGTTGAGTGGTGCGGTTGCTCGGTGGATTAATTTTCGCTCTTCTGAGAGACCACTTCCAGCTGACTCTTTATCTGTGGCTACACACCGATAATAGGATGAATTTGCCACCACTTCTTGGTAACTATTCTAAGAAATTATTGGCAGATGATGCAGTCGGGTTTGGTTCCAGGTGGGGGTAGGTCTCCCCTGTACCCCCCGCCCCCCCATCCTTCTCCCCTCCCACCTACCCCTCCTCCCACTCTTCCGCTCTCCTCTCACCACCACTCAGCATCACGCACGCGTGTCCCCGACTGCCTTTGTCTCCCCAGTGGTGATCTTTACACACACCACCAGGTGCTCAGTTGAGGCTGAGTCGACCTAGGGGAGGCCCAGGACCGGTTCAGATAATCGTCACGTGGTGTTGGCTGTGAGCGGGATTCGAGCTCGGGTCGCCGGGTTGTCATAGCGCAGCGTAGCGCTAACCGCTGCACCACCACTCCCCCATGTTGATATACTCAGCGCTGCTGACGCAAAACGTAAACGGATAATTTTTATGCTTTTTTTGTTCAGGTCCATTATATGGGACGTACATTGCTCGTTACACAAAACACCGCCGCCGCGTTCACGTGTAGCGCGCTCGCGTTTGCCGTCCGCGCGTGGTCGTCGCGGACGAACGTTCGCCGACCCTGATGGCGGCTGCGTCTGTCGCTCCTCTGCCTGCCCTGTTCGCTCGTCCCCTCCGAGGAGCAGATCTCTGACATCGAGCAGTCCGTCTCCTGCCTGGGCGTCCGCCTGCCAGCCGGCCCCGTAACGAGACGCGAGCCGCAGGTCAGGCAGCAGGGTCAGACTGACGTCGAACCTCATCGTCATCACCGTCATCGTCATCACCGTCATCATCACCGTCAGCATCATCATCGGCATTATCATACTGATGATCATTGCACCCTTGCCTGCGCCTTATTAATCATCATCAATACACGGTCATGAGCACCCTATAAATTTTCATCCATAAATCATAATCTTAGTCATCATCCACAAGACAGCCATCATCACATTAATCATAATCCATCAATCATCTGTCAGTCACCATCATAGGCCATGAATCATCATCATGCAGACCTTTGAACAATCACGAGATTTCTCAAAGAGCGGGAGTGTGGCGGTGATGTGCAGTGGCATAAACGCCACGAGGCGGTGACGCCTACTTCACTACGCACGTGGCGGCAGTGCTGTTATCGTATTGTTGTCATTAAGTTTAACACGTAGGCGTTCGCCTGATGAAGCTAGTTGTCATTACTGGCGAAACGTCGTACTCAGATTGTGAATGTTGTGGCTTTGCTCTCCAACACACCGGTTAGTGCTGTACTAGTGACGAATTGGCCACGTTCTGTTTACGTGACAACCCTCACTAGTTGGCTGCGTCGGGTGGTGGCGGGTTTTAACGACACAACATTTATTTATTTGCGCGATCTAACCCAAACCCCCCCCCCCCCCCCCCCGACACCATGCCACAGGCTGCGCTCATGGAGTCACCAAAGCCACGAAGCCGGAAGCTGCCAGCACCACCGGGAAGTGAGAGCTACGTGCAAGGTACGTGCTGTGATTGTGTGCCCTGTGGGGACTTTCTACTTCCAACCCGGGGGTGGGGGGAGGGAGGGTGGGAGGGGGCGGTTGGGATGTAATTTATTTGGGGACTGATCGATCGGTCTAGCGATTAAAGGAGCGAGCCGCAATGTGGAACGATGACCAGGTGTTACTTGCCCGGATAGATAACAGGAGGTTCTGTGGAGGAGATTCATGGAAGAGGTTCATGAAGGACACTGCTGGGGAGTTGGAGGCAGTCGCAACAATGGAGGGCAGAGGAGTGACGCTCGCAATAGTGAGCGGAGTGCCGGGCGGCTGAAACGCAGAGAGTTGGCACAGTGGGGAGCACAGCTGGTGCATCTGCCAACCATCTCAGTCACTCAACCCATGGCACCTGGGTCTGTCCAGTGACCTCCTGCTAGCAGGCCTTCGGCACATCACGTGACGTCAAAGTGCACCTGGCATGGTACAAGCAAGCGCCGTGGTGACGTTACCGCCACTTAGTGGTGAACAGTGCCCTGAGAATGCGATCGCGTTGGGAGCGTCTTCTACACTCAACTCGTGCATCGTCGTGCCTCCAGATTGGTTTCAAGCGCTGTCGCCAAACTGAAACCCGTGGGGTGAATGACGCTCGCGAGCCCTTCGTGATGATCCATTTCCTTGCTACTTTGCACTGTCTCGGGCTGGTGGCGCTGCCGCTGCGATCTCCCCAGCGGACTGGATGAGGGAGCTGTCCGGGGAGCCCTCGGAGTTCGCTTGAGCCCAGGGGCGACGTGGTGAGTGCCATCAACGTCATCTTCATCATGAACTTATGAACAGAAACAATAAACTATTTTTTTTTTTATCTATACAGCTCTTTTTCAGGAGCGACCTGGCCACAAATGATAGCTCGACGACACGGCTTATCATATGGAAACTTCAGAGCAGCCGAATACTCTTAAGTTGCATTTTGATTCTAAATGTGGAGAGAAAAACCGGAAGACCCGGAGAAAAATCAAACGCGACCACGGGGAGGGAGACATGCAAACTCCAAATATACAGCAGTCGTCAGGGTCAGGATCGAAACCACGACCTCCTGCATACCAGGCGAGGTAATTGACATCTTGCCACCGTCATTAAATTGTTGACTAACAACAATGTGTGTGTGGGTCGTAAGTCCTTCCCTATTTTACGTAATTTGAAAAGCAACTGACATAGCGTTATGCTCATATGCCGAGTCTGGTAATCCATTCAATCCTCACCACCAACATTTTGCAGAAATTAGTTACGACGTTTAATTTGAAACTCCCGTCAAATATTAAGGCTAATGGTTACTCCGACTACACAAGCCGCAAAGCTATCACTCCAACCATGAAGAAGGACCCTCTTGAGGAGCCTTTCAAAACCATCACTTTAACCTACGTTGCGGGGATCACAAAAAAGATCTCCAAAATCTTGAATAAACACAAAATCCAGGTCCGATTCAACACATTACAGAACATCCGTGATCTGGTTCCGTCTGTAAAAGATGTGATTCCGGACATACAGTACCCTGGCGTCTACAAACTAAGTTGCCTCTGTGGTAGTAGTTACATTGGAGAAACCAAACGACATGTCTCGGACCGCATTCGTGAACACAATGCAGACTTAAAACACAGTAGGACCAACACCTCGGCCGTGGCAGATCACTGTTATAATTCAGTAGGCTCACATGACATTGACTTCTCCAAGACAGAAGTTATTTGCAAGCCATCTGGCTACCATGACAGATTCGTTCATGAGGCTATCCACATATACAAACACAGAGACAATTTCAACCGAGAAGATGGATTCTGGCTTAGCAATCATTCGAAGGATTTGAAAAACCATTTCGAGTCTTAATTGATTGTTCATGCTTATGGTGGTTTTCAGACCGTATCCATTATTTTCGTCTCCCCCCTCCTCTTTTCCGAACATAGATGGACTCATCCATCTGAATAACTGCCAAATCGCTCTCCGTGGTGCTAACGTAAAAAAAAAAAACCACCACCGAGAAGATGGATACTGGCTTAGCAATCATTGGAAGGATTTGATAAACCATTTCGGGTCTTAATTGATTGTTCACGCTTACGTTGGCTTTCAGACCGCATCCATTATTTTCGTCTCCCCCCTCCTCTTTTCCGAACATAGATGGACTCGTCCATCTGAACAAACTACCAAATCGCTCTCCGTGGTGCTAACGTTAAAAAAAACCCGCCACTTTTTTCAAATTTTCTTGCTGTGGTTTTCACACCTGATGATGATTGCTTGTGTTGCAGTCGAAATGTCGTGAGGATTTTATTGGTTTATATTTTTATGATTTTATTGTTTCCCTTCTACGTGACTTTACCGAAAGAACCAAGAATATGAATCCCTGCAGTCACGAAAGCTTTAAATCAAAATGTAAGATCCAGAAAGTCAAGATTAACGAATCCGCGTCCTGTTCTCTAACTTACCGGTGGGCTGGAGCCATAATTGTTGGCATGTTAAACGCGATTTGCTGCCCACCGAACGGAGATGGTCATGGCATTTCATTGCTTTTAGCTGTGCCTCTGCAACTGTCTGGAACACTTTTCCTTCTGACATTAGATTGCCCACTGGAACTGTGCACGTGTCAATATAAATTTAAAACTCGTTTATTTAAGACTGCTTTTCGTGTATAGTCTGCCGTCCCTCCCACGCATCCCCAACTGGCGCGGATGGCTCCGTACGATGTTGAAGACGTTCAACATGCATACAATGGAGTACGTGGCAATTCACTTGTTTGGCTGTGTTGTATGTATGTTGAACCTTTTTCGCATCGTACGTTTTCAACCATGCTTATCGGAGGTTGGGAGGTAGAGAGGGTTCTTACTGACACAGATGTCGTCAGGTCATTTCCCGCACCTCCGATTAACATGGTTGGCTACGTACGGTACGAAAGAAGTTCAACATGCGTACGTACCTACATTACATTTTGCAGCCGAACCCAAAATCCGATTATGCATGAAATGTAAAAATGATTCAAGTTTCAAGTTTCGTTTATAGGTATAGCCCTGTGAGCCATGCGGCTCTTAAGTCGGGTGCAACCGCAACTAACACAATATGAATCTACATGGCAGAAACGATAACACCACAACCAGACCAAAATAAAGCTACAAAAACTGTAACAACAGTAGTCATAGGAACTGTGATTTTAAATTTAACAATAAACGATATACATAACACGTACGACAAAACCTGCAGCCATAGCTGGCAGCACGACACTCCCAGTGTATGATGTGTGAGTGAGTCAGCAGCAGCATGAGTGAGTGTATGATGTGCGAGTCAGCGTATGATGTGCGAGTCAGCGTATGATGATTGAGTCAGTATTAGGTTGAGTGAGTGTATGATGTGTGAGTCAGCGCACGATGTGTTAGTCAGCGCATGATGTGTGAGTCAGTGTATGATGTGCGAGTGAGTGCATGATGTGTGAGTGAGTCAGCGGCAGTGTGAGTCAGTGTATGAAGTGCGAGTGAGCCAGCACACGATGAGTGAATCTATGTATGATGAGTGAATGGGTCAGTAGTTGTGCGAGTGTATGATGTGTGAGTGAGTAAGCGCATGATGAGCGAGTCAGTGCATGATGTGTGAGTGAGTCAGTGTATGATGTGTGAGTGAGTCAGTGTATGATGTGTGAGTGAGTCAGTGCATGATGTGTGAGTGAGTCAGTGTATGATGTGTGAGTGAGTCAGTGCATGATGTGTGAGTGAGTCAGTGTATGATGTGTGAGTGAGTCAGTGCATGATGTGTGAGTTAGTCAGTGTATGATGTGTGAGTGAGTCAGTGCATGATGTGTGAGTGAGTCAGTGTATGTGTGAGTGAGTCAGTGCATGATGTGTGAGTCAGTGTATGATGTGTGAGTGAGTCAGTGCATGATGTGTGAGTGAGTCAGTGTATGATGTGTGAGTGAGTCAGTGCATGATGTGTGAGTGAGTCAGTGTATGATGTGTGAGTGAGTCAGTGTATGATGTGTGAGTGAGTCAGTGTATGATGTGTGAGTGAGTCAGTGCATGATGTGTGAGTGAGTCAGTGTATGATGTGTGAGTGAGTCAGCGCATGATGTGTGAGTGAGTCAGTGTATGATGTGTGAGTGAGTCAGTGTATGATGTGTGAGTGAGTCAGTGTATGATGTGTGAGTGAGTCAGTGTATGATGTGTGAGTGAGTCAGTGCATGATGTGTGAGTGAGTCAGTGCATGATGTGTGAGTGAGTCAGTGCATGATGTGTGAGTGAGTCAGTGTATGATGTGTGAGTGAGTCAGTGTATGATGTGTGAGTGAGTCAGTGTATGATGTGTGAGTGAGTCAGTGTATGATGTGTGAGTGAGTCAGTGCATGATGTGTGAGTGAGTCAGTGCATGATGTGTGAGTGAGTCAGTGTATGATGTGTGAGTGAGTCAGTGCATGATGTGTGAGTGAGTCAGTGTATGATGTGTGAGTGAGTCAGTGTATGATGTGTGAGTGAGTCAGTGCATGATGTGTGAGTGAGTCAGTGTATGATGTGTGAGTGAGTCAGTGCATGATGTGTGAGTGAGTCAGTGTATGATGTGTGAGTGAGTCAGTGCATGATGTGTGAGTGAGTCAGTGCATGATGTGTGAGTGAGTCAGTGCATGGTATGTGAGTGAGTCAGTGCATGATGTGTGAGTGAGTCAGTGTCGGCTCCCTCTGCTCGTGCCGTCGCCCCCCTCCCCCGGCTTCGTCGCCCCCCCCGGCTCTGTCGCCCCCCCCCCCCAGCTCCGTCGCCCCCCCCCCACAGCTCTGTCGGCCTCCCCCGGTTCTGTCGCCCCCCCCCGGCTCTGTCACCCCCCCCCCCCCGGCTCCGTCGCCACCCCGGCTCCGTTAGCGGGGGCTGGTGAATGTGTTTTGTTAATGTGTGCGTGGAAGTTCCTGTCCCTGTGTCCGTGCATTTTGTTTGCTTTTCCAGGACGGTCGCCGCTTCGAGGCTGCTTCGAACTCCGCGAGTTATCCACCGCCGCCGCCGCCGCCGCCGCCGCCACCGCCGCCGCCGCTGCTCTCGAGTGCCTTAATGAAGCTGGAGCACCAGGCTCTCTCCCACCGGACTCCTCCGTGCGTGCGTTACTCTTGTCGGCCCTTTGTCCCCCGGGCACCAACCCACAAACCTGCACGGGAAGGCCACTCGACAAACCTTGCAGGCCACATGCAGAGCGTGCAGGCTCACCCAAACGACGCTCTGTCTTTCTTGCGTGCCCTTTACCGACGGCGGCGTTGGTTTTTTGCGTTTCCTCCCTTTGCGGCCGTGCTTTCACAGCTCTCTCCAGCCGCGTTGTTTGGCGTGAGGTCCGACGTCGAAGCTCCCGGGATGCGGAGTGAAATGTTGGACGTCGCCCGCAGCGACCTGGAGAGACGTAGACGCGGACCGAGCGGTGTTATCGTACGAGTTGCGTCTGTGTCATGTCCCTCTCACCCCCCCCCCCCATCCCTTCCATGTCTTGTGCTGTGGCCGGTTGTAATTCTGTGAGGTGAAGCAGAGAAGGGTGTTTTTTTTGTTTTGTTTTGCCGGTGCTTGGCGAGCTTCAATGAACCCGCACGTCCGCACCTCCGATTTGCACGGTTGGCTTCATTCGATGTGAAAGACGTTCAACGTACACGCATATGCACGTCCAGGGCAGTGGCCAGCTTCAGTGGCACCACGCTTGACAGACAGCTCCTTGGGATGGCTGGAGAGGCACGCAAGGTCGTCGCGAGTTGATGTGTGCTCTTTATGCCACTGCACCTCGCCATCGTTTCCTTCCTCGTGGCAAGATCTCACAGCAGTCAGTTACACACGCAATGAATCGGCCATCCGGGGTTTGCTCCTTTCTATACTGTCATCCCGCTCGAGAGAGCAGCCACGAAGGATGAGGACACCTACTCCACAACCGGTGACCAAACGATCGAACACATCGTAAACTCCCCCCCCCACCCGCCGTCCATTACGAGCATTTCGAGGAGCTTCGAGTAGCTCCGAGTGGCGTACCCTCACTCGCTCGCACACTCAACGTCTCCTGAAGCCACTGGATGGATTTCAAATTGGGAAATCGATTTGAGTTCGCTCCTCGAACCGCATCCAGATGACAAAGAACCCGGACTTCACACATCTGTCCGCGTTAGGGAGGTCCGCACGCCTTATGTTCGAGGTGTACCTTACTGCCCATCAGTTTCCATCCCCACACGGTCCACTCCGCTCCGTACCACCGCGCGTCTCTGCTTGCTGAGCCCCCTCCCCCGCCCGCCCGTCCCCGGTAAGAGCCCCGTGCTCACGTCACGTGCCCTTACAGCTCCTCTCCCGAACAATCAGGGCTCTCGGCCTTACCGTGCTGCCCGCCCCGGTCCCGAGGTGCCTCCTCACATTTCCAGCGTTGGGAACTCCTAGCCTGGGGCCCTTCAGACGGTTTACTTTCTCGTGAGTGTCCAGCTTCTCGGCCCTGCTGCCACTGGGATCCTCGGCCATGGCTTCATCACATCCCGAATAGACGAGTGCAACTCTTTCCTCCACGGCCTCCCCAAATTCCTCCTCTCCAAGCCTGCAGACGATAAAAAAAGCCAACGCCAGACTCAAGGGTCTCGAGTGTTTATTCCTTAAGCACGTGAGAAGTCAAGAGACCAGCGTTAGCCTCGTTTGGAAGAGTGACCGGGGGCATTCGCCTGCCAGTATGGGGCCGATGATTGCAATGTTTGGTCCCAATTAAAAATACCCCTCCCGGACCCGTACACCGGACCCGCATCACCCATGGACTGAAGACCACTGGCTCCCACTACAATCTCGGCTGAACTTGGGAGGTCGCGCCCTCCTGCCTTGAAGATCCTCGATGGGTTCACCACCCCGGCCACCTAGCCCGTCGCCTCTCTCCTCCGCTCCGGACACTTTTCACTGCAGGAACCAAGCAAGGCTTTATATCGAGAGTCCAGTCAAACCTTTACTGAGTGGGAGGTCGCTCTGTCCCTCGTGCTGCCCCCTAATCCTGGAACGTCCTTCCCCTCCGATGCTCTGTGCTGTTGCAATTCCCGTGTGTCGGCCAGCGTGTGTTTATTTGCTCCTGGGTGTGATGAACACTGGGGTGTGTAAGTTGGTGCTTGTAGATGTTTTGTGTGCGTATCTGCAGTGGCACGTGGAATGTATATTGAGCAGTCTCACAGAGGCTGCTGTCACGTGTGCTGGACCGACCAATGAACAATGCTTTTTGTGTTTAGTTTGTTGTCCTTCCTCCGCACCTCCAATTTGCACGGTTGGCTACGTACGGTGCGAAAGATGCGATGCATACGTACGCACAACACGGAGCGATGCATATTTTTGTAGGGACCATTTGTCCCCGATGCAGCCCTCGCTTAGCACTCAATCCCCATATATGGGCATTGCAGGATATGTTCGGTTGTGATTGGTAACGTGATATGTAAAAAAAAAATGATATAGTTGAAAGCTAATCGATTTTTTTTTTGCCCCGTGAGCACGATCGCGCGATGTGCATCACAGACGGGCGGCGGAAACCGATCGGGCGAGTGAGTGCGCCCTCCTCGAGGCGAGTCTGCCCCCGGTGACCCCCCCCCCCCCCAAACGATTCCGATGTCTCCTCCCTGCGTTGCGACCTTCGATTGCGTTCGACGACTCATTCGCGGGTGGAGATTTTAATGGCAGCACGTGGTTCTCTGCAGAGAGCCCTCTCAGCTCGGCTCGCGCGCTCGGGATTGAGAGTGGGGGGGGGGGAGGTCGGTTGATAATAAATGGGCGCGCGTGGTCGCCCACCTGACCCGCCTCTGATGTGCAAACCGAAGCCGTACATGGGTTTCAATTGGTCCAAATCGTTAAGTTAATTACGATGAGATCAATTGCCCTTCCCCCCGTGGGCCTCTCGTTCACATTCAGATTATGAGCGATCGCATGAATGAAGATTATTTCAGAGTTCAATACTCTGGCAAGTCCTGGAGCTCTGTCGAAAAAAATTTTTTTTTTGGGGGGGGGGAGGGCTTTTGTTCGATTTATTTTTAAAGCATGTATATATTTTAAAAAAGTGGCAGGCTCTACTGCCCATAACAATGATATCGAGTTTCATTTTAAACGTGTATAAATATACGGTATGCAAAAATTATGAATAAATCTTGCGGGACTTGAGACATTTAATGAGATTTCTCATCCGTTCTTGTCGCACGTGCATAATTTACCACGACGTCTTTGAGCGATGTCAGTGATTATTAAGGTTACTGGAACATGAATACGGGACCGGCCGTCACATTTTATCTATTTTTTTACTTTCAAAACGAGGGTGGGGGGGCGGTGGTTCTGTGGTTCGCATGCTGCTCTATAGAGCCACGATAATCCGAGTTCAATTCCCACACGCGGTTAATATGAGTGGCGAGTGTCATCTCAACCAATCATGTGCCTCATTGTCCCCCCGATGATGTAGTTTGCCCAAACGAACCCCCCCTGTTCTCATGGCGTGCGGCGGTCTTGATCCAGCGGTGGATTAACAAAGGGCTGTACGTAAGTATACAGGACTGTAATGTTAAACATTTCTTTCTTTCATTTTAAAAGTTGCAGCTGTGACGAAGCTAAATCGAAACGAACACATTTACTTCACTCGGACTTTCAAACACGAATTCGCAATTTCCCCTGACGCAACCATCGGTGAGCATCTTCTTGATTCTTTCGGTAACGTCACGTAGAAGGGAAATAAATGTGCATGTTATTGTGGTTTATTTTTTATTATTTTATTATTTCCCTTCTACGTGACTTTACCGAAAGAACCAAGAAGATTAATCCCTGCAGTCACGAAAGCTTTAAATCGAAAAATATCGGTGAGCATTTTGACGCAACTTGCTCTTAACAAAGGGGATTTTAGTTTTTTTAGGCCCACCTGCTTGGATGCTTCTTTTTTTCCTGCAGCACCACAGGAGGCGATTGTTGAAGTCAACTTCTGCTGGTGGGATAATTTATTTTTTTATGAACCCACAGAAGAACATTCCTTCTGGTGCCCTTGATGTGCGGAGACTGGACCTTATGGTCTTTCTCAGCGTGGGTTTGAGATTCCCATGGTGAGAATGAGTGTTTCTTTCAAGAGGGTTTTGCTCCAAAAGTGCAGTTCCCTCTCCGCCCCCCCCCCCCCCCCCCCATAGAACTGTAGCTGAAAGAAGACGCTTTGCTTACAAACGTATAGCCCTGTGGATTTGAAGAATTATTTTACCCGTTGATGTTTTTGCAATGAGAAGTGGATCTGTTGTCGATACCCAGGAGAGAATGGGAGAACTGGAGAGCAGAGGTCCCCTTCGACTCTTTGGGCGAGAGGGCCAAGTCGATGGGGTCGCGCGACGCCACTTCTCCCAAAATGCCTTCGGCCAAATCACCTTGAACACAATTTGATCTCATATCTCAGAAGCTAAGCAGGTTTTTTTTTGTCCGGGGGCGGCTCGTATTTGTAAGGGAGAATGCCGGCGAATATTGGGCGATGTTGGTTTTGAAATGCAAAGTGGCCAAGAGATTGTAAAACGGTACGGGATTATTGAATCCATCTGTGCGGAAATTTGCCTTTAAAGCATTCGCATTCATGATCATTCTCCGCGTTATCTGCATACGAGTGGGTGGTCTGGCTAGCAACACACTCGGCTGCCTTTGTCGCCCCAGTGGTGATGTTTACACACCACACCAAATACTACGTTAAAGTTGAGAGTCAGCCGAGAGGATGGCTCGGGACCGGTTCAGATATTCGTCACGAATGTTGGGACCGTGAGCGGGAATCGAACTCGGGTGGCTGGGTTCGTAGCGTAGTGCGCGAAATCATTACACCACCACTAGCACACATGACACCACAGCTACTACCACCACCTCGACCACCATAACCACCAACATCAACAGATGGAGATGCTTTGTCTCCCCCAGCCCCCTCAATTAATATCCTTCATGGATGCCACCCTCCCTGCCTTACCCTGCCCCCGTCCTCACTGTACCCCCCCCACTCCCACTGGAATAATGTCGCGATGGATGACTTTGATTTTGAAAATTTATTGTCTTATTTTCAAATCATGCTTAATTTACGTCACACGGCGGCACAACTTCACGGGCGATTAGGCGATGCGGTCACATCGCATGGAGCAGAGCTTCTGAAACGTTGCCTTTCACGCGACTTTACCAATCTTCAGGAGCGTGCGACGTGCCACTGGTTAATTCGTTATTTATACCCACCTTGTCGCATCGGTAAGGTGGTTATCCGAGATACTTAATTTCCATTCCAGACCACGGCTAGCACATCAGCAGCTCGTGATCATCGAAACACATCCCATTCACCAAACCCACACTGACCCGCGTGGCGAAGTATGGACAAACAACCCCAGTGACTGACACGGGTATGGTGGAGGCCTGCCTTCATCCAAAAGTAGATTGACAAACGGCTGGAAATTACACTTTTTTGCGTCGATAAATATGAAAAGGCAACGAACATCCGTTGGACTGTGCGAAGATACATAACATATCAAAGGTGCTTCTTCAGAAATTATTAACGCGTGTGTTGTTTTGAATAACAGACAATTTCCCACCATGAGTCTGGATGAAACATTTTTTTCTGAAACACCCGAGGCAGATCGGTTTGGCGTTTGTCCCAGTAACTGCTGGCGACGAAGAAGAGGCGGGGGGGGGGCATCGGAAACATTCCCCACCCCCACACCACCCACATTTCAGACGAGAAGGGGAAATGAGGCGACTTTGACCTCGGTTATTAGACAAAGCGGGCAGTAGAATAACAATGCCCCGTGCGAGCTCGGCAAAAATAAATAAAAAACACACCCGAAAGGATAACAAAATAACCAAAACGAGCACACTAACAACAAACACACCCATAAACAAACTAGTCAATCGCGAGCTGCAAAAGCGAAATTTCTCAACCGAGGCGCTTCATCCGCAGACCGGATCCGAACCGTGAGGCAGCCAGCCCCGTCGGGGAAAGGGTTCCTCGACGGGCCGCTTCGCCGCGGCCCAGGAGAGCCCCAGTGGCCCCCTCGACCAGCCAGAGGCCCCTTCTCGCCGGGGACGCGTCGGGCCACGCGGTCTCCCGCTGCTGGATCCGAACGGCGGGGGCGTCCGAGAACCACGGCGTCTGCCTCTTCCCAAAGCGGCCGATTGGGCGCACCCCACGCCCCACGTACCACAGCGGGTTCACTTCTCGTCCTTGGTGGCGGCGGGGCGTGGCGGGGGGGAGCGGGGGGGGTGTTATGGGTGCGGTGGTGAGAAAATATGATGGCAACTTCATTATTTAAAAAAAAATAGGAAGAAAAAAAACGTCCAAATAACTTTCAGCGGCATCGTGTCCCCCGTGCGATACACTGGCGTATTAAATGCATACATCCAGCAGTTTGGTTTGCCAAAAGGGCGTGGTATCATTATCGCGCGCGTCGTGTGAATCACGCGCAGCAGTAAATCAGTGAGTCCCACGGACGAGAATGATCTCCCAACTCCCGTAGCCCCGGGGAAGGGGCGAGGAGACCGTGCTGAGGTCCCACTAATGAAGGGCCTCGGGCCTTCATGCTAAAAATTTTTTTTTTAAAGTCAACGTTTGTTGAACGTTTGTAAAACATTGACTGCATCGTGCCCCCGTCCCCCCGCACATTAGTGTTGCAGCCCCTCCCCCTTACCGCCCCCTCTTTAATAGAAGTCGCGCTGCAGCGCCGTGAGCTGCCCGTGTTGCGCACCGGTAAATGCGGCGTTTCTCCGCGCATCGGCGTCGCGCGTCGCGAATTTTCAATTCCCTGTGTCGTGACGCCATGGAAACGCGAAGACTTTTTTTTACCGAGTCGGGTTCGAGCCCAAGGGGGGGGGGGGCACCACCACGAGGCATTCAAAGCAAAGTCATCGAAACGATCGCGAAACATCGTGATGGACACAAAGACAAAGACCCCCCGTATAACCTTAACAGACTGTAGGGGCAAGTGCTGTTATGAGTGGCCAACACCACGCCCGGCCGCCTTTGTTTTCATAGTGGCGATGTTTACACATCGCACCAGGTACTCATTTGAGGCCGAGTCGACCTATGGGAGGCCCAAGACCGGTTCAGATAATCGTCACTGGTGTTGGTCGTGAGCGGGAATCGAACCCGGGTCGCCAGGTTCGCAGCGCACCGTAGCGCTAACCGCTACACTACCGCGCACACAGACACACGCACGCACAGATAAAGATCCCCCATATAGCCTTAACAGACTGTAGGGGCAAGTGCTGTTAGCGAGCACCTATGAAGGCCGGAACGGTACACGAGGGGGTGGGTGGCCAGCACCACGCCCGACCGCCTTTGTCTCCCTAGTGGCAATGTTTACACACCGCACCAGGTACTCATTTGAGGCTGAGTCGACCTAGGGCAGGCCTTGGACCGGTTCAGATAATCGTCACTGGTGTTGGCCGTGAGCGGGAATCGAACCCGGGTCGCCAGGTTCATAGCGCAGCGTAGCGATAACCGATACACTATCGCTCCCCACAACACAGAGACACACACACACTCACACAACAACAGCCATTCGCACTAAGTGGCGGTGACATCACCACGACGACGCTTGTGCCAGGCCATGTGCACCTTGAGGCCACGTGGAGTGTCGAACGCCCGCTGGCAGAAGGTCACGGGGCAGACCCAGGTGCCACGGGTCGACTGACTGGGATGACTGGCTGGTGCACCACCTGTGCCCCCTAATGTGCCAACCTGCTGTGCTTTAGACACCCGGCGCTCCGCTCGTTGTTGTGAGCGTCGCTCCTCCGCCCTCCGTTGTTGTTGGAGGGCGACTGCCTTCAACTGCTCAGCAGCGTCCTTCACGAGCCTCCTCCACAGAGGCCGATCTTGACACCGCTGGTACCAGTCATCGGCAAGTCCACTCAGCTCCACGTCCTCCTGTACCACATCACTCCATCTCTTCTCTAACCCGTGCCGCGCCCGTTTAGCCCCCTCAATCCGGCCGAACAAAAGCTGTTTCGGCATGCGGTGGCTGGGCATGCGGGCTACATGACCCAGCCAACGCAGCCTTGCCTGCCGGAGGAGCTCACCGATGGGACCTTGCCCAGATCTTTCAAGAATTTGTGAGCTCCTCACACAATCCAGCCTGGTTAAACCCAGGATGGATCGTAGGCAGGCCAGCCTAAATGTTTCTAACCGGCGAAGATGTTCCATTAGGGGGGGGGGGGGGGGGGGGGGTCCACGTTTCGCAAGCGTAGAGAAGGGAGGGAATGACCGTGGCTGAGAAGACCTGAAGCTTAGTGCGGAGCGACAGACCAGGTAGCTTCCACACAGCGTTACGCAACCGATGAAAAGATAATGCCGCTCGACTGATTCGGAGTGAGACCTCTGCTGTTAAACTGGAGACACACGCACACACACAGACACACACACACAACCGGGACGAGAAGGTGGAACCTTCAGGAGCACTTGAGCACGAGCCCAAAAACTTTAAATGCGAAGATGCTAACATTTAACAAAGTCAAGTTATACGATGGAGAAGGGGAAGTGGTGGAGGGGAGCCGTGGCGCAGCGGTTAACGCGCTGTGCCACGAACCCGGTTGCGACGTGAGTTCGATTCCCTGCCGCGACCAACGCCAGTGACGAGTGATACCTGAGCCGGTTCTGAAACACCGATCGCGAGCGGGGGCCAATTGTGGTGAACGCAAGGCGGCCACCCCCCACAAAAAGAGGCACACGGCGTGGGAAGGGATTCATCCAGCAGTGGACTGACAAGGGCCGGGACGCGACATTTGTTGAGCTGTTTATGTCGTACTCAGAGGAGTCCAAATCGCGACACCTGTAGCGGGTAGAGGGGGGGGGGTCATGCAGCGAGAGGGCGATGGAGGCCAGGGTTTGTCGAGGCGAGTTGGGGGGGGGGGGGGAGTCGCTTACACACAGAGACGTAGGTACACAGACGTGCGGGGAGAGACATTGGGGGGACGCAGAGAGACGCACGGAGAGAGACACACACACAGACAAGGAGACGGGACGGACATCTCCAAATATATAAAAGACAAGGTTGTGATTATGTGTGTCTGTTCAAAATGTTTAGCGTATTTCCCGCCATGCAACAAACTTGAAATTTTCCATGTGGGTACTTTCCAGACTGTACACCATGCAAAAATTATAAAAATGCACTTTTTTTTTGGGGGGGGGCGGGAGCTCAATAATGCATTTAATTTTTTGCACAGCAAGTGAGCTGTGACGTCAAATCTACCATGTGACCCGCGCATGTGAAAGCGTAACGCATTGTAGTGTAGTGGTGAGCGCACTGTGTATGTGTCTGTGTGTGTGTCTGTGTGTGGAAGCGTAACGCATTGTAGTGTAGTGGTTAGCGCACTGTGTATGTCTGTGTGTCTGTCTGTGTGTGTGGAACCGTAACGCATTGTAGTGTAGTGGTGAGCGCGCTGCGCTACGAACCCGGCGACCCGAGTTCGATTGCCGCTCACGGCCACCACCGGTAACGATTATTTTAACCGGTCCTGGGCCTCCCCTAGGTCGACTCAGCCTCAAACGAGTAACTGCTGTGGTGTGTGAACATCGCCACTGGGGAGACAAATGCGACCGGGCGTGGTGGATCCACGCCCCGGGCGAAGCCGGGTAGTAAAGCTAGTACTGCATATAAAGAGACTCGGTGAAAGACATGGGAATATATAAAGTGTGTGGTTTTAATTCAGCACACTCCTGATGAACGTGTCACAAGACTGCGTGATGTTATCTGAGTAAACGGGGAGATGTATTATTACTATTATAACAGACCGCCCCCTCGTTACAGTAGCTGACGAGGTGGTCGCTGACCCAACCCGAGAAGGGGGTCTCACCTCGGATATATAGGGGGCTCGGTTGTGGTCGCCTGCTCTCCGCGACTCCGAGTGTCGCCTGCAGGAGACAGAGGCCCCCCAGGGCAGCCAGGAGCTTCAGCCCCCTAAACGGGGCGCCGTTTTTCCTGTGCAGAAACACAGAGGGAGATAGAAGGGGGGGGAGATGATGAGATGGGGGATAAGATGAGTGGATGAGGAGATGACGAGCTAGATAAGATAGGGAGATCGGGGAAATTGGCAAATGTTGAAGATAGAAAGTACGAGAAGGAAAATGTGGGGAGTGATCGGGGGGAGATGGGATTAATGAGGAAGATGGGATTAATGATGAAGATGGTATTAATGATGAAGATGGGATTCATGAGGAAGATAGGATTCATGAGGAATATGGGATTAATGAGGAAGATGGGATTCATGATGAAGATGGGATTAATGAGGAAGATGGGATTCGTGAGGAAGATGGGATTCATGAGTAAGATGGGATTATTGAGGAAGATGGGATTCATGATGAAGATGGGATTAATGAGGAAGAAAGGATTCATGAGGAAGATGGGAAGATGAAAGAGATGGGGAAGATGAGGGAAGATTATGAGATTTGGAGAGGTCGGAGAGATGTGGAGGAAGAGGAGCAGTGTGAGATGACATAGATTGGGGAGACCGGAAAGATAGGAGATGAGAAGGTTGAGGCAGGCGATGGGGAAATGGGATAAATGCATGGCGGAGATATGAGAGATAGAATGTGGGAGATGACAAGGGCCGAGGGGGGAGATGGGGGGAGATCAGAGAGATGGAGGAGTCGGGGTGGTTGGGAGCCACTCAGATGTCGCAGCAGCAGCTCGAGTTATGGCGAAGCGGCATCTGCAGTAAAAAAAAAGCAAACAGATGCATGCGTCTGAAAACATAACACTGTTGCCATAATACCATTTGAAGACCACACACACGAGTCGGAATAAATAAATAATTGAACGCTTATTCTTGTTTTTTTTCGGTAAAGTCACGTAGAAGGGAAACAATAAAATAATAAAATATATAATGAAAATGTCGTTTATTGTTTCCCTTCTACGTGACTTTACTGAAAGAACCAAGAATAGGAATCCCTGCAGTCACGAAAGCTTTAAATCAAAATTAAACGCTTGTCAAAATGTATTACTATTTAATATATTACAAATATGCAATTTTGTAAGCGGTAGAAATTGTATATATTTCATTTTGAATATCATTTAATATATTCTTGGTTCTTGCGGTAAAGTCACGTAGATAGAAAACAAAAATCAAAATTAAAAGCAAAAAACCCACGACGTTTCGATCGCAACACAAGCGGTCTTCTTCAGGTGGCGAGAATCATTTAATATATTTGATATTTTGTATACAAATAACCAACAAAGAGGCCAATGCCACTGCGACTGAGGGCGGCCGCCAATTGGGGGGTGGGGGGGGGGCGGCGACGCAGCGGGCTCGAGGAGACGCGACGACGACGGCCGCCGCGCTGCCGGTGAGAGAGAGTGAGAGAGAGTGAGAGAGAGAGAGTGAGAGAGAGTGAGAGAGAGAGTGAGAGAGAGTGAGAGAGAGTGAGAGAGAGAGTGAGAGAGAGAGTGAGAGAGAGTGAGAGAGAGGACGCATCACGCACGCCACGTGGCCACGACTGCTCGACACGGGCAGTGCAATGCCGCGGCGCGTAAACATTGACGTGAAGAAAGCGGTGGTGGTGAACACGACGACGATCATGGTCATGATGAGCATCACAGTCCATCATATTCGTCGTCGCAACCACGCGCACTGTCGCGCATGAGCAATTGAACGTTGGTGGTCATCATTGTCGGCTGAACCGTATTCACGCGACCCGTTGGACATGAAAACCCTGCGCGGAAACTACGCCAGCGCTGCTTGCAAGGACTTTCACCGTTGCTCGTGAACAATTTCGGTGTAAGCCTGACCACAACAACAACCGCCGCTCACCACTAAGTGGCTGTGACGTCGCCACGGCGCTTGTGCCAGGCTAGGGGCACTTTGGGGCCACGTGAAGTGCCGAAGGCTCGCTGGTAGGAACTCAGGTCACGGGAGAGACCCAGGTTCCACGGGTTGACTGACTGGGATGACTCGCAGATGCACCACAACTGAGTTCCCCACTGTGCCAATTTTCTGCGTTTTATCCACCCGGCGCTCTGCTTGTTATTGTGAGCGTCGCTCCTATTCGTTTTGCTGGAGGGCAAACTGCCTCCAACTCCCCAGTAGCGCCCTTCACGAACCTCCTTCACAGAGGCCGATCTTGGCACCACTCGTACCAGTAGTGACCAGATACACTGTTATATCGGCGATGATGATAACCGGTTATCGGTTGATGATCCGAATCATGTGCACTTCCACGTGAGCCAGTGAATGACTATGCTGCTGGTGCGGATGATGATGATGATGATGACGATGATGACGATGTGAACTGCATGCTCCGCTGCACATGAACAATGACATAATTCTTCTGATGATCATCATTATTTTGAAAATGCACTGTTGCAGCAGCATAATCATCATGTGAACCACATACACACTTATGCATGGACATTTATATACTGATGATGATGCTTATGATGATGATGATAGTAATGATGTATTTGGGTGTAACAGTATTAAGTGTGAGTGCAGCAGGTGGTAACTTACAATAGCGGTAGGAGCATGGTGGGGAGCCGTGTTGATCCGCCGCGTTATGAGCGTATGGGAGTGGAGAGAGAGAGGAGAGGGCGTGAGCGAGAGGCGAGTAAGAGGTGTGGGTAGGAGAGCGGTGTATCTCTGAGCTTTGAGACCGCGTGGTCATTTATACACGCCGCGTCATAGCGCGTCGTGGTGTCGGGATTCAAAAGCGCGAGTGACGTAATGCATACTTGATGATGACGATGATGGTGGTGGCGATGCCAGCTTGTACCACGCCGACATCAGAGTTGCTCACCTCTGCACTCACAACTATGGGGGTCGATACATTAAGTACCACTTTGTGGAAGTAGACAGTGATTGTCCGTTGATTGGACTCACGCCGGCATACGAATGTCGATTTTCCACCGCTGCTGTAAAATGACGAGCTTTCACCAATTGCTCTTTTAACAAACAAAGACAATGACCCCCCCCCCGTATAGCCTTAACAGACTGTTGGGGCAAGTGCTGTTCGCACCTATGAAGACCGGAACCCGCGGACGAGGGCACGGTGTGGTCAGCACCACGCTCTGCCGCCTTTGTCTCCCCAGTGCTTGTGTTTACACACCGGACCAGGCACATTACAGGACGCGCCGAGATAGAAAGTTTGCTCATTGATGGTGAACTCGGCTCGCTGGGATCGAAGCGCAGTGCGCTAACCGCTGCACTGCCGCTACTAACACGCAGTGTACACAGATGCGCACATAAGCTGGTGCGGATGATGATGATGATCATGATGACGATGTGAACTGCATGCTCCGCTGCACATGAACATTGACTTAATTCTTCTGAAGATCATCGTTATTTTGAAGATGTACTTGCAGCAGCATAATCATCATGTGAACCACATACATAGCCTTGTTGATAGCGAACGCCGTAACGGTACACCCAGCAACATGCCCGACCGCCTTCGTCCCATCAGTGGCGATGTTTACACACTCATATGAGGCTGAGTCGACCTTTGGGAGGCCCAGGACCTGTTCATATAATAGTCACCCGTGTTGGCCGTGAGCGGGAATCAAACTCGGGTGGCCGGGTTCGTAGCGCGGCGCGCTAACCGCTGCACCACCGCTCCCCACCCATACAAGCACAAACACATTGATACAAACACACACGCACGGACACGCGTACAGACTAAAAAAAACCATGCACGTAGATAAACATCTCCCGTTGCAGAGACGTTTGGGGCAAGTGTTGCTGACGAACATACACAATGCATGACAGTTCAACATACGTACGTTGCCAAACCAGGGATAATGACGCATACGCACGTGCACAGACATAGGAAGAAATGAGATGTATTAGAAGCCGGGAGAGAGAGAGAGAGTGAGAGTATGCAAGAAACGATTCCAGGAAAATACTTCAGCATGTGACGAGTGGCTCTTGCCGGACTCGGAAATTGGATCTTGCAAGTGCGGCACAAACCCATTGAATTCTTCATGGTCACAATAATAATTTCAACTTATAATGAGCACAGTATTCACTCTCTCGAAGGAGAGAGAGAGAGGACGACACAAAGGCAGGAGGAGGAACTACAGAAAAGAGGGGGAGAGCAGCAGTCGCGCGATGAGCCGATGCTGTGGTGCAACAGAATGAGTCTGTGACACTAGGGAGGGAATACGTTGGCATGAGCTTCACCCAGCCAAAGATGCAATTGTGGACGTGCGTTCGGGTTATACCGCGTGTTGTTCGGCGTGATGTCCGACGTTTCGCCCCGCGTCGTCCTGGGAGCTTCTTCAAGATCTGGCGTACCATTGAAGAAGCTCCCCGAATGCGGTGCGAAACGTCGGACGTCGCGGCGTGCACACCCGCGGACACCCAGGCACGAGCCGTGCGTTGCGTCGTGGAGAATTGAGATGTCTTCGAGAGGAGCAGAAGAGAAGGAGCGACCTCCCATCGTGCTGGAGAGGGAGTGGAGGGGGAGTGTGGTCAGAGACGCGAGCATGCTTGTTTGAGAGCGATGAGATGCGTGCGGTGGGTGACGCATACAGCTATGCAGTTTCAATGAATCTTTCACATGTATGCACTCTGCCTGTCAAATGCAAGTATGTTTTATCTGAAATATCCACACACAATTGCTTAGCTGCGACTATACCCCCGCGTAAATCATCACATGTACACACATATATAGTATAGGAAGAGCAATTGAAGGAACATCAAAAGTACTTCTATGATATCTGCTTCCACGGTTTGTTCTCTTACACGGGGTGATGCAGTTCTCCCTGTGTGAGCGTTCCGAACGGATTCTACGTCTGGTGACATGAGGTCGATAGTGCAATTGGAATACAATTTTTTTGGGGGGAGTGGGTATACACTATGTTTATGAATGTTTTAATTCCTTCGGAATCGTGGGTTCGCCGCTACGTTGTCAACAGAGCACGGTACAGCAAATCCCATTATTCTACTCTAGTTGCTTCCACATCCATGCCCCCTTGCCTTCACCAACCCGCAGTGACCAGCTTGGTGAAGTATGGTCAAAGCGCACCCCCCCACGACCCATACGTTCAGCGCGGTGAGGCTCTCATCCAGGCACCGGATCGATAAATGGTCGTCATAATGACTAGGCGTTTGGATACGTTACATTTTATTTTAATTACGTGCACATAGATTTTGTGCTATGAAGAAGGGCTATTGCCTGAAACGTTGCCGATTACATATATTTTTTCCTTTAAGGCAGTGTTGTTGACGAGTTTGTTGAGTTGTCTTGTTAATTGCCTATAGAGTAGTCGATCGGCAGGTCGTGTGTGGTGGGTTAAAGCGTGGGTACTCTCACAACCTCCAAAACGTCTTGCCAGCGTGGGAGAGTAGGCCAAAAACAAATCCTCTTGCGGAGGCAACGAGGGTCGGCGGATGACCGCACAAATGTTGTGAAACTCCCTTCCTGTGGGGCAGCGGTGAGGTGCCACATCCTGGCTGGCCAGGAGAAGGCAGTATAGCAAGTGGACTAATCGCCATCTGTTACCATTCGTACGGGGATAGAGTGTTGTCCCCTCGCGTGCGTGGGTTTTCTCCAGGTGCTCCAGTCTCCTCCCACGAGTATAATAAACACAACTATTCATTAATTGGCGGAACACTTCTTTTAAAAAAAAAAACCTCAATGCGATCGGACCCTCCTGAAACTGAGTCCTATGATTCGGTGTGGCTTTCCCGGAATAAAAAAAAACAAGTCAATTATAATCAGTATCATTATAATTATTATCCCTCCACCGGCAGTGGCGCGAGCAAGAGGTAGCAGAGCGCTGCACATTCACCTTCATCACGCAGATCCCAAGAAGGCTCACGGCGCGAGCCGAGCGAGTGATTGAATCAACATCGCGGAATGATGTCGCACACGAGAAGAGATGCGACTGCCCGTTACCCGGCGCGCTGCAGGATCCGAGGAAGACACCGCGTGAGTACGTCACAAATAAAAACACGGGGAGTGAATGCCGGGCGACGAAACGCCAAATACATTCACTCTCACTTTCACCGCCGGTCAGAGTGGAGTGCATATTCATGTCGGTATATATATTTATTTTTTACTCACAGCAATTCTGCTGTAAGGGCAGCCCATAAAAGGATCTTTCACATCACCCCTCCTATCCACGACCCCCCCATGCCCCCCTATTGCCACCCCAGCAGCCCCCACCCCCCCTTCAGGAAATCAATAGTGGAGCTTAAAAAGCTCACGGGGTCAGCCAAACAAACACATAAACACAGCCTCTCGTTGTTCACGCCGCCTCGCCCCGTACATCACTTCACCGTTTTATTGCCACTCAAAGTTATTTTTTTTATTTTCTTCCGCGGACAGATGATTTAAACACTCATAACACCCGGCATGGCAGATGCTACCGCCGTGGTGTTAATGGTCAGCACACTGAACATGCAATGCAGAGGTCAATTCGATCTCCGGGCGCGGCAGTTGACCCAATGGTGCAAATTCGTTAAACGCCCCCTCCCCTCCGCCTCCTATGTCCACTCAGCAGTATAATTGGGTGCACTGTCATACGGAAATACTCAATGATGTGCACTTTTAAAGAGCATTTCACTCGGAGATAACACGAGCATTTGGCTGTCCAAAAACAAAGATTCCCCGTATAGCCTTAAAAGACTGTAGGGACAAGTGCTGTTAGCGAGCACATTTGAAGGGCCGGCACGGCACACGAGGGGGTGGCCAACACCACGCCCGACCGCCTTTGTCTCCCGAGTGACGATGTTTACACACCACACCAGGTACTCATTTGAGGCTGAGTCAACCTAGGCGAGGCCCAGGACCGGTACAGATAATCATCACTGGCGTTGGCCGTGAGCAGGAATCGAACTGGCTCCGTAGCCCAAGGTGCTAACCGCGACACTACCGCTCCCCCAAAACACACGCGCGCACACACGCAGGCCCACACCAATTAAATCCAACCGATTAAAGGAGGAGAAAAAAAGCCCGTTGGAATAAGTTGCGTCTCGAGGCGCGATTTGTGGCGCAGGAAAAAGCGATGTATGCATCATACAGCTCATGAATAATAATAATAATACCAATTTACATTTGTAAGAGGCATTGGAACTAGCTCCCGCTTGACGTAATGGATGGTTTTCCAAACAACATCAACACATTAAAAAAATACTAACGCTGTGATCACTTTTTCTTGTTTTTTGTTTTAATATCACGTGATACATTGCTATATTGTGTACATGTATTTGGTGCCACCGGACGATGTCCCCATTGCAGACGTAGTCAATGAATTAAACTCTCTTGGTGTGGTGTTACTCTGGTTGTCCATCTGTGCTGCCTAATACATATTTACCTGGATGTTCTTCCCTGTGTATGTATCTCTGCTACCTTGTACCTCGTATTTGTTCACTCTGTCTATGCTGGTTTGTTCAACCCAGAGGATGAACACGAAATTTAGCAGTCTTCTGAAATACGTGATCAACCAGGTCAGTGTCTAACTGTGTTGTTGGCTGACTGCTTTTGCATCACATTATTTTTTCATTAGGTGTGTTGAGTTCTCGTCTCTCATCTTCTTCTTGTATTTGCCTCCGTGCAGTTTAACATTTCTCTATGTGCTATGTGCGTGATGTCCCCCTATGTGTTCCCTCGTTATTTGTTTTACACCTGATGATGATCGCTTGTGTTTCGTTCGAAACGTCGTGA